GACAGGGGTAGGGATGAGGGTGGGGAGGGATCGGAGCTCCCTTTCAGGTATGGGCTGGGGAAGTGGAGTTGTCAAGAAACCTGGCACATGCTGGGGGCAGGGAAGTAATCACTGTCTTTATGAGTAGAAGAGAACATACAAATATGTCAGAACACAGAAGGAAAGACAACGTTCACATCGTGAGAGTCAGAGGGCATCCGGCCACGAGAGCAGCTGGAGCACTTGACAGCTGCCAAGGGCAGCTGGAGGAGAGTGTGGTCAGAAAGACTCCTGCAGGACATGGCGCCCAGGGAGTCAGGGAAGCAACAGCCAAGGCTGAAAGTGCATGCATCACATTGACGGAGCCGCAAGCAACAGTGGACCGCCATTACTGGACGGAAAGACCTTACTGCAGTGTTCACCACAGAGCAAGAGTTCCGTGTGCCAATGGGTGTTTGGTGCAAATGTTTTTTTCAGTCACAGTTACTGTTACTAGGAGGGCCATTCAGGGCGCAGGTCAGCTCTCGTCACCTTACTGACTGGACTGTCACATGCTGACTCATTTCTCATTTCTCATCCTCCTCTCCAAACCGATTCTGTTCTTGTCTCTCCGTGTCTGATTGCAGTGGTTGAAGCCAGGAACGCGCCGTAAATAACACCTGGGGTTTCTACTTCCATGACATACTCTCCACTGTGCTCTTTGTAAAAAATATGTATGAAATCGTCCTCAACCTTGTGATTCTCCCGTCCAAGCCCGAGTGTGTCACCACGCCCTGCCTACATTCCTCCATCTTTGCTGCCGTCGCTGTGAGTTCATGTAGACCTCTGCAATGCCTTTCTACCCACGTTTCCCAGCCTTGCTCTCCTATGATCTTTCAACACAGACTGGCCTACGAACACACATACACACACACACACACACCCTGACTGTAACTCTTCCCCATCTCCTCCTTCCCTTTGGAACTATCCTACAGGCTCCCTGGCTGAAGTACATTTTCTTGCTACAGCCCCAGGACCTCATTTTCCCT